AATTTAATTTCCATATTTCTTCTTGATGTATGTCTGTCTGCTCTAGGGATAATTGTGAATCCACTTGCCTCCAGCTGTCAGGTCTCTTCTGTCTCCTACAGTCTTCACCAGCCCTTGTCTGTCCTAAAATCTTCATTTTATATATAGTGTAAGGTAAGGAGCAAGATCCTTTTCTGTTCCCTTTTTTCATATGTTCCAGGACCTGTGGCTGAGAGATTATCCTTTCTCTAGCTAAACAGCCTTGACAGCTTCACCAACTATCATTGATCTTGGATACATGCAGCAATGTCTCGTTCTGTCTGCCCTGCAGAGAGACAGCTGTCTGTCTTCACATTGGGGCAACAATGTCTTGATTTCCGTCATTGTATGGTACTGTGAAATAGGTCCGTTAGCCCTCCATCTTTGTTCTTCCTCTTGGGAGTTGTCTTGGCTGCTGCTCCAGGATCTTGGAGCAGGCACACATTGGCGCCAGCCCTTCACTTTCTACAAAGAGGCCCCAGGATATCACATTATTGGAGTCACAGATTCATGTGGAGAAAACGGACATTATATCAAATCTGAAAGACCTCTGACAGGGAAGATCCTCACTCAAGTCTCGGGATGACTCGACCCCCCCAAGAACTCATGAGAGACTGTCCTTGCTACAATCACATGAGGTTTATTGTCAGGAACCAGCGCGCTGGGGCCCAGACTCATATCCCACGAAGGGGTAGAGGAGTTTCGACCCCAAATGCCTGGGAATAGGGGTTTTAAAAGGAAGAATCCACAACCCAAAATACCAAAAATACCAGAGGAAGGTCCCGAGGGAAGAAACCACAACCCAAAATACCAAGAATACCAGTGAGGGAAGAAACCCCAACCCAAAATACCAAGAATACCATGGAAAGGTCCCGAGAGAAATCACAAGGGGAAACTCCCTATTCCTTAAGATCGTTTGTAAGATTCTAATCTAACTTTTTATGGCTAGCCTTTTCCTGGAACAGAGTTGCTGAACCGGCTAGCCACCCTATATCCTAGGCCTTATTTTGTCTGCTGAGGGGGTCTTCTTTATCCTGGCCTTTCAAATCCTCTGATGAATTTAGAATGACTTTCAACTAATTTAGCTCTTTCATTCCTCTTGGCAACAGTTTGTAGTTTTCTGTATGTATGCCTCAGCAAATGTTGCATGAGTTTGAAAGCTAAAAACTGCTTTGTCCACATTGCCTCCATTGCTTAAACATGGGGCTGGATGGGAAGCAGAAGAGGCCAGAGGTCTGGGTTCTCGCTGGACCTAAGATGGGATCAGATCTCTACAGTTCCGAGGTAGGAGCTTAGATACTGGTGCTTTGATGCCATCCAGACGCTGTGGTGGCCTGGGCCACCCCCAGAGAGTGGACTCCTTAGAAATCACCAGGCAGTGGGGAGTGTCAGGGAAGGCGGTGCTTCCAGAACCACTTGCTGACCTCTCCTCCAAAAAAGGAAGGGTGTGGGAATGGGCTGCCTGGTAGGAAAGAGTAGAGAGCCGCACACTGTCCCCGGGGACCTATGAGTGTAGGCTATGTGGGCTTTCAAGACACTCAACACTGTAGGGGACTGACCCCCAAAGCAAAGGAAACAGTGCAAGGGTGTTTGAGACAATGAAGCCTGTGAAAATGGAAGAATCACAGGTTCTCTCACCTCCTCCTCCACACTTTATACTGTCGTTACTTGTTAGCAGACCAATCCAAAGATAAATAATAAGATGAAAGAGTCTTATCTTTGGTTAGCCCACCCCACCCAAAGATAAGTAAGACATACTCCTGGGAGTGTTAGAGGAAGAAAACACACACACACAGGGAGAGAGAGGCGGGGGGAGAGCAATTAAAATAAATCAACCACAGAAAAGGAGTTACCTATAGAAGAAAGGTTCAAGGTACTTTTCTGTATTGTCAGCAAAATTCGCCCAACACTCTTTCTAGAAAATAATTCCAAAGACAAGACATAAGAACTCAAAGGTGAGTTGTTAGAGAGCAGAAGAAGCCAGGGTAAAAACAGAAAAGCCATCTACAGGGGGCTGGAATCTACATGGGAAGCTGCTGAACACAGGATACAATAACCCTAACTCAGCATGTGGCCAGTAGACCAGGAAATCACACAAGAAATGAGCAACAGTCCCAAGACTCACTAGTGAGCCTGGAGAAAACTACTGTTAGAGGAAGTCAAGGAAAACCACACCCCAGCATTTTGAAGAATGGTTGGTCACATGTGGAGGCAAACTAAAGGAAGGCAACATAATTTAAAGAATTAACATGAGAGGACTTTCTTGAAATAAGGATGTTTGAGTCTGCTGATCAAAAAAGTGTTGATTTCAAGAAAATCTGCCTAGGTAATTCAATACCAATACATTCCCACTGAAGTTATGAAATGGCAAAGATAAGGAAAATCTCACATGAATATTCATAATTTGGGTAGAAAAGCACATACAGAGAGAAAAATCAAGACAGAAGATCGACATCCAAAACTCCTGAGGGAAAGGAAGTGGAGCATGATGAAAGTCCACGTACTCATACAGTTCTCCAGGTGTGGAGACAACACAGACACAGACATGTGAGACCTCAGGGTTAGAAGACTCAGTTCTCTTGGGAGTGAAATCTACCTGACAAAAAAATGGCTCAGTAAATTCTAGAGGAAAAACTTGGGCTTTCTAGTGCTGCCATAACAAATGCCAACAAAGTGCCATGACAGGTGCCTTGTGTGGAAGCTAGTATTGTGACAACAGTACCTGACAGAAATGATGTACGGGAGGGAAGATTTCTTAGAGGGTCTAAGTCCTTCACAGTGAGAAGGACATGGTGGAGTTCACTGCAGCAGAAGTATATGGCTGAGGCTTCTCACAGCACAGTGAACCAGGAAGAAGAGAGCAAAAGCCCACCCATAGAGACCTGTTTCTGCTTCCCCCCAAAAGCCTTCAGCAGCTTGGAATCAAGCATTCAAAATGTGAACCTGTGGAGAAATATTCTATAGCATTCTATCGATGGCCCCCAAATCTCATGGCCATCTATCTCATCATATAAACTCATTTGCTACAGCTCTGAGGGTGTCCACAGTCACAAGAGCAATGCTCTTATGACCAGAACCAGTCAGAACCTACCAGGAAGCCCTCACAGCACTGTAGTAGGGCTTTCCTAGCCTGTTGCCAAACTCTTCCACGTTCTTCCAACAAAACAGTTCCACAGGCCAAAGAACTACATGGCCAGGTCTACTCACAGCAACAACCTCACTTCTCTGGTACCAATTGTTCTGTTTTAGTTTTTTGTTTTGTGTGTGTGTGTGTGTGTGTGTGTGTGTGTGTGTAAAGCACCCAACATAAAGAACATATGGGAGGCAACATTTATTTGGCTTATGGTTTCAGAGGGCCCTTCATAGCAGGGAAGCATGGCAGAATCTTCGGCAGCTGGCACATATGATGGATCACGTCATATCACAGCAAACCTGGAAGCAGATGCAGAGCCAGAGCTGGACTAGAACCTTCAGAAGCCCAGTCCAAGTGACCACTCCCATCAACCAAACACTACCTCCTACTGCTCCACAGTCTTCCAAAATAGTGCCACCATTCAGGAAATGTGTGTTCAGAACATGAGCCCCAGATGAGCATTTCTTATCAAGTCACAATGCTCACAACAACTACAAGTATGAAATTGGGGTGTTGGCAGGGCTGTGGACCCTTAGAAGGCTCTAGGGAAGGACCCTTTGTCCTTTCCAACTTCTGGTGGTCCAACCTCCAGCTTTCAGACCACACTCTCCCTGGCTCTTCACATGTGTCTCTTCTCTACACATTTGTGCCCAAATGTCCCTTTTCTGTGATGATGTCATTTAGATCAGGGCCCACTTTAACGGCCCCATTCTAACTTGATTACCTCTCTAAAGACCTCATTTCCAAATAAGTCCTATTTTGAGAACACCAACATACCCCTTTCCCTCCCCTCTGGAGAAAGACACACTACAATCTGTAATTCAGAAATAACACAGATACAGTGAGTCCTGAGCCCATTAGAGATGGAGCCAAACACATCGGCAAGGAGTGCAATTAGAGGACAGAAAGGACGGAGGGAGCATTAGCAGTAGGGGCTGAAAGAGGTAAGGCGTATGACAATTGCAAATGGGTAATAGCTTTCAATTGAAACTGATTTGGGAAAAAATAGCAAATCCAATCTCCTAATGGATTTTCCGTTATCATTGTTCCTAACTCTAGAATAATTCTTTAAAGAATGATCACATCTTGTGCTGAAGAAGCAAGCGATTTAGTGATTCGTACAAATTAATGCTTTCCGTGGAAAATAGCGTGCAGAATCTGATCCTGGTTTTATAAAATTGTACTTGTCCCACATATGGAGTCAAGTCCTGCTTCAAATGTTGGCGATGGTTACCTAGGAGCAACCGGATCTATGTAAAGGCTTTTCCAACTTCGTTACACATTTCTGTATTCTTGAATCTTTATCGTGACCATGTTGCTCTAAACAAAACCTATAAAATCTATTCTCTCTATCTTTCACTTTCTCCATCCCCCTTATTTCTAAAAATTCTCTTTGCACATGTGGGGGTTGCTAAGAGTTAGAGGTCCTTGGGGTACTATGGGGGAGCCGGTCTGGAGATGCTGTGACAGCAAACAAAAGATGTCTGGGTTGTTCTCAGAGTGGGTTCTGTCCCACAGGGTGACAAAAGACTCCTTTAACTACAGATGTCACCTCATGCATTTTATAACTTTCCACAGTCACACTTGGTCCCTGAAGTTCCAAGGAGCCTCCAAGGTCAGCAGGATGCACCAGGGCTGCTTCTAACTTTTGAGAAAATTTAGTATTAATCCAGGCATCCTGACATATACCTGTCTTCTCAGCACTCAGGAGGCTGAAGAGGTCAAGACAGGAGCATCAGGATGTTAAGGCCACCCTGGACAACATAGTGAGTGTGAGAGTAGCCTGAGCTACATGGGACACTGGAAAGAAAAGGAGGTGAGAAGGAGAAAAGAGAGGAGGGGACTGTCTGTTTTCTTCTTGTCCCCCAGTCAAGGCAGCTTCTTTGTATGACTTTCTCAGGCCCTGTGACTAAGTCTTCCATCCTTATCCTCCGAGGAAATGCACCTGGGTACACAATGGTTATAGTGTCCACACTTTATAGTTCCTCCTTTTCTCTCATTGTCCCAAATGGTTGGCAGGAAATACATCTTTATTACTTCTTTTCCTGTTATTTTGAAGGGAAACGGGAGTTTTGTGAGGCCAGCATGCAGACAGCTGGGTTGCGCGAGGCTCAGCACATCACTGAAGAAGGGTCATGGCTTTAGGTCTCTGCTCCCTGAAAACTGCTGCTGTTTCCATTCCACCTTCGTAGCCTCACATAAGAGCTGCTGTCAGAGCTAAGGGGCTTAGCAGAGGGGAATGGCAGAGTGGGCTGCAGCAGAAACAAAGGGTCTAGCCTGGGCAAGCCCTTCCTGTTGACTTGGAGAACTAGGAAATCTAGGAATATGCACATGGTTAGCATGCATGTGGCCCTGGGTTCAATCTCCAGAACTGTAAAATGAAACAAAAATCTGTGATACAATATCACAAACAAAGTGCTGATACTGCTAGACAGCACAGAACAGCACCACCACCAGAGCCCTCACAACCACACCCATTTCCATCCTGCGCCCATTGCCTCTGCACCTCTTGTAACCGTTTAATTCGGTTGTTGGTGTGTCTGTGGTTACATGCAAATGAGTATGCAAATGGACCTATGTGATACTCCAGAGTAGGTCATTAGGTTTATTGTTTGCCTCTCTGCACCTGATTGCCTTGAAACAAAGTCCTTGGCTGAACCAGAAACTCACTCTTTTGGCTAGGCTGGCTGGCCCCCAAAGCCATACCTGTATATTTACATGGGTGCTGGGCACCTAAACTCTTACTGGGCCATCTTCCCAATTCCATGAATCTGTTTTCATTAATTTTATTCCAAGAATGTCATATATTAAAAAACAAAACAGGATGCTATTAAATGGAACAGTACACTAAGCAACCTTCAGGTGCTTTTTTCACGTAGGACACTTGTTTCAGACTTTACCTATCAAAAGCATTTGGGTTCCCAGCCTGAAAGGCTTTTCCTTCTCCAGGATCCTGCCCTGTCCCATGAGGTTATTAACTGTTAGTTATGATTTATATGAGATCCTGGTGATGTGTGATGTTGTATTGTCCAACTCAATTAACATCTCTATTCTCAATTTACTAGTAAATCCATTTACTCCTGAGTTTCATAAACATCATCATGAATACTCTTCATTAAGAAAATCTGGGGCTGATGAGATGGTTCAGTGCATTAAGGTGCTTGCTAGCAAATCATGATGACTTGAGTTCAATCCCCAGGACCCACATGTAAAAGGAGAGCGCTGACTCTCCAGAAGGTGTCCTCTGACCTCCACACATAAGCTATGGTGTAAGCTCCCTCCAAAGACAACAAAATAAATGTAAGGATTTTGTTTTATTTTGCTTTGCTTTTAAATAAAGGAAGGAAAATCTAGCTCATGGTTTCCAATCCCCTGGGCATACTTTCACCTAATATTCTAAAATTTAGACTTAGATTTACTCTCTGTCCTTGTTAGGATGGGCGGAGTAATACAGGCTGAGTGTGCAGGAGTGGTGAGGAGGATGGGAGAAGGTTGGCATATACAGGCTGTGTCAGGGGTGGTGAGGCAGGCCAGGGTTATCCACATATAAAAGACACTGTTGAAGCATCAGAAGCACCCCTGGGTCTTTGTGTTTCAAACAGTAGCTAGTAGTGTTCTGTGCATAATTTTGTTTTATAATTTTCTATGCACCGTGGGATATCTAATGCCATTTTGGGTCTGAACTGTTGTATATTCATACTATCTTTAATTACATGATTTTTTTTTACAGCTTAATTAAATTTTCATCTTGTTTAAATTTTTCTTTTTGTTTGTTTTGTTTTGTTTCTCAAGACAGGGTTTCTCTGTGTAATAACCCTGGCTGTCCTGGAACTTACTCTGTAGACCAGACTGGCCTCAAACTCCCAGAGATCTGCCTGCCTCTGCCTCCCAAGTGCTGGAACTAAAGGCGTGCACAACCACTGCTTGGCTTAAATGTGTTCTGAAACATACTTTATAGTGAGTGATGGGTACCAGGGGCATTATTCATTAGGGTTAATCATGTCACTGTAGTGACTGGAATGGCATTTACCAACTATAAATATTATAATTTACAGAAGTTACAGTAACAAAAGTGAAACTTTTGCTCATTGCTTGAGTTATTTTAAGTAAATAAGTATTATTATGTCTGAGTGTATGTGTGCATACACATATACATGATATGGGGGGTACCTATGTGGAGGACAGCTCTTGGTTGGTCCTCTCTGTCCACTTTTGTGTAGTTCTGGGCATCAGCCAGGCTGCACAGCAAACACCCTTAGCAGCTGAGCCATCTTGCTGGAGCATACTGCTGTATCCCGGGGCTGTGGCAAAGCATTTTGAGGTGCATGTTAGAAAGCCTGGTACCTGCCCCTCGTCAGGATGACTCAGCGGCAGAGGTGCTTGCCACTGAGCCTGAGGACCTGAACTTCGTCCATAGTCACGTAATATAATGGGGAAAAACCCATGCCCTCAGGTTTTCCTTTGACTTGTACTCCAATGTGCATGAACACACATGGAAGAAATAAGCAAATATGCACAAATTTTTTTTCTTTTTTTATGATTTTATTTTTTTATTTTTTATTTATTTATTTTTCTATTATTATTATTATTATTATTATTATTATTATTATTATTATTATTAATTCAAGTTAGGGAACAGGCTTTTTTTACATTTACCCCATTCCTTCTCCCCAACCTCCAACCTACCCCCGCACCCCATCCACCCACCACTCCCCAGGCAGGGTAGGGCCCCCAACTGGGGCTCCACCAAGTCCACCAAATCTTCCTGAATACACACAAATTTTTAAAAAGAATTATGAGCTAGGGACTGGTGAAATGGCTCAGCAAAGGCACTTTCCCCCAAGCCTGATAACCTATGTTTGATATCCCAGAACCACACGGTGGAAGGAGAGAACCAATTCCCACAAGTAATTCTCTGACCTGCACACACCCATCATACTGTACACAACTCCCACATACAAACAGAAAAACACATGTGATAACATTAAAAACAATAATTATGGTCTAGCAGACATCCTCTCCAAGTGAGGATACTTGTGTGTGTAAGTTTACCAAAATTCAATAAAGGAACCAAGACCGAACCTTTAGTGCTTATGAGCTTGAGTGACCCCGCTAAGGTTTCCAGGCCTTTGTTTTAGAAATTAAGCTACATGAACAAATATTGAATTAGTAGTTGCATTAGGAATTTAAATCAAAAGCTTTTCTCTTGAGGTACTGGACTGAGCTGAAGTGCTATGCTCGTGTTGGGGGCATACTTCAGCACCTTATAAAAAAATAAAGATGTTTTAGCTCAGGAAGCCTAAGGAATCTTAAACAGGCATGGAAAGCAGTCACCTAACTAGAGGCTGGCTAGACACACTTGTAAGGTTAGACTCTGTATGAAGACTGTTGGGGGCCGGCGACTGGTAGGCTGTGTGATCTGACTTTACCAGAGACAAAGAGTTGACATGGAAGAGGAGATAACTCGGTGGGGTTGACTACATAGTCGTGGGATGTATGTATTCAGAGGCAGGTGTACACACACCTACACTGCCTGATTCATAAATGTGCATTCATATTTATCATGTCCAACAAACATGAAAAATTAGCCCCTCCTGATTTGTATGTGAAAACAGTATTAAAGACCCAGCAACATGATAACTGTCTATGTCACAGCCTTCATTGCCATGCTGAGTCAATCCTAAAAACAAACAACACCTAGTCAGTCATTTGTGGTGATGAGTCTTAAGAGGAACCAGCAAGAGATCTTGCTGTTGTGGTGCTGAGGCAAAAGCCAGGTGTGAGCGGAGACCCCCAGGTGTTAGCCAGATGTGAGCTACAGTCTCAGATCATAAATTCCCAAGTAGTAGGGGCTTGGAATGGCACTAGACAAGAGACAAATTTGGGAGATGTCACTCATATTGACAATGATTGATTTTACTTAATATACCATGTATGGATGACTAATATGTAATATGTAAAAATCAAAGGTTTAATTCGAAAACGTATATTCACATTGTAAATAATTTTTGAAGATTAATACATTGATGTTTCATTGCTATAACTTACTTGTTTATTTACATGGGGTCATACGTTTAATGTATGTTTATATGTAGGATGCAACATAATGTACAACATGTGTTTATTAATAAAATTTAGGGAAAATTTTAGATATTGACTTTGCACTTGAGAAATAAGAATATGGGACTGGAGAGAAGGCTCAGTGGTTAAGAGTACTGGCTGCTATTGCAGATGATATGGGTTTGATTTCTAGTACCCACAGGACAGCTCACAACTGTCTGTAACTCCAGTTCTAGGGGATATGATGCCCCCTTTCTGTCTTTGCAGGCACAACACATACATCATATGGAGCACAAACATATATGTAGACAAAACATCCATACACACAAAATAAAAATTAAAACAAAAAAGGTGGCAACACGCCTTTAATCCCAGTACTTGGGAGGCAGAGGCAGGTGGATCTCTAAGAGTTCAAGGCCAGCCTGGGCTATATAGAGCTAGTTCCAGGACAGCCAGGGCTACACAGAGAAACCAGGTCTTGAAAATAAATAAATAAGTAAATAAATAAATAAATAAATAAATAAATAAATAAGACATGAGTGTAAAAAGATATTTTTTTAAAAAAAGAAATACAGATCTCAAGAACAGAAATCAGGATTAGTTTAGATTAGAATGTCAGCTGTGAGTTTCGAAAGTGATCATTGCTTCTTTCTTTGTTGTCCCAGCAACACTGAGTCTCCATTCTTTGGTTTACAAGATCTAAGTATTTGCTATGCTAGGGGGGGGTTCTTTGTTTTCTTTTTAGAAAGGTTATAAGAGAAATTAGGATGAAAACAATGAGGAACTAGCAGGCTAGGCCTATGAGTCCACAGGTGATGAAGGACTGTTTGATGGTTGGCCTCCATCCACCTCAATGTGTCAGTCAGTTGCTAGATTTCAGGATACACTGACTGAGTGGTCAGAATATCAGACTCCATGTTTGGGAACACGAGGTAGCTGAGATGATAGGATAGAAAGGCAAATGGTCTAGACTGTTAGAAATTGA